AGATAAAAATATTATTATTATGACCAATTATGTAGAATATATTTGTAACAGAACAGTAAATAAATATAGTAATAATAGTAGTGCAGGAGACAGTTTGTCCGGGATGATTTTTTTCTGAGGGGGGTCAGCTTTCTGACAGCCTGGAGGATCTGGCTGTGGGGAGAGAGTTTTGCTTCCTGACAGCTTGGTGGATGAAGTTTTCTGTGAATCTGGTGGAGCGGGCAAGGGCCTGAGCAGACAGTCAGTCTATGAAAACACACACACTCACAAAGACTGTCTGTCTGTCTCTCTGTCTGTCTCTCTCTTTCACACACACACACACACACACACACACATATGTCCCGCTTTAATCCAGTTTCCGACGAATGGAACTGGGTCAAATTTGTCCAGAGGAGGTCCATTGAGGTCGACAAACAGGACTAAAGACATGTGCTCTGTTCGAAAACCTGGGACGCGGCCAGATTCAAAGGACGATTATATCATAGCTCGCCGCCGAGGTCTGGTCGGATTCCAAGACTCCTCGTTATGCGACCTTAAAATGCGTCCTTCTTTTTGCCTGATTTGAAGGACGGGTCCGATGTATCCTCGTTATCCTTGGTTTACCCAGGATTCATTGCGAGACCAAGCAAGCCGGCTGCTCCGTAATTAAAGGAAAGGTTACTTGGCGCCGAAGAGTGGTGAATAATGGAAGTTCAGTTTAATATAATAAAAGTCTGTGAATAGTTCCATCTGAAATTGACGAAAATAGTTGTTTTAATTATTATTGAGTCAGATCTGTCCAATCTGTTCCGCGTCTGGTTGCCCGTGTTATTAACTGCGGAAAAGCACATGGCTAATTTACATACGCGAACAGGATTGACTGGTTCCACTTGACAAAAAACAGAACATATTTTTGAATAAAGGTTTTGAATTTGAAATACTGGACATGTTGAGCTTAAAAACATTTTAGTGACCATTAGTGACAAAAAATATTTTATTTTTCATTTTTTTGACTCAATTTAAGACCCCCTTTAAATTTTGCTTTTGAGGCTTTCAGGGGGTCTCATGAGTTAATCGGGGGGTCGAGCCCCCCCGGACCCCCCCATATTTCGCACTGTGATAGCAGTGCATCTATAAAGTCAAACCAATTTTTGAAAGCCCAAACCCAAGTGTTTCATAGTGTTTCATCGTGTTAAAAGCTCTAACAATGTGGTCCGGGCTTCTTATAGTCTGACCAGTATTTTATAAGGTTTTCTGAAGAGCCAAGAATGTATGTAATGATCTTAGAGAATTCACAGCGATCATATTTTGAATTATACATCTTGAATTGGGAAGGGTTTGGTGGAGGCGTCGGTGAAAGTCCAAGCTTTTTCATGCACATTCCAATATAAGCATCCTCTATATTAAAAGGTTTGATAGATTTTGAGACCTCGACAAATTTAGCAGGAAGATCGTTGGAAAAGACATACCCCATGCCCAGGGTGTATGTGGGATATTTGGGATCAGGGTACATCTCCTCAGGAACGTACCACTTGGAGTTCTTTGATCGGATAACTGGGATGTCCCTCATAAGCCTTCCTGTTAGATAGTTCAACTTTGGGATCCCTGGCTTCTGCAGCATGAAAACCAAGTTATTGATGTTTAAGAACATATCAGAGTCCACCTTCATTGCATAGGCTGCTGTAGGGCAGCGTGTGGCCAGCCAGTCCATTATTACCATGGTTTTAATGGTCAGGTTAAGATATGTGTCCATAAAGTTGCTCTGGATCAGGTCATGGTGTTGCTCATTCTCTTGTTTAAGCTTCTCCACATCTGCTCCCTCATGGAGACCCAACATGAAAAGAGTANGAGTCTGCTGTACACCAATACTCAACAAAAACCTGTGTACATCATCCGACAGGGGCAGAGGCATCATGTTTTGTCATGTAGGATGAGGGAAGCTAGTCACAGTTGTTGAAAAGATGACACTTAATTCTGGGAAATCCTGAGAGCAAAACACGGGAGGACTGAGGTGATGATTCACCTTGCAGCAGGATAAGGACTCTAAACAGACAAGCCAGAGCCACAGTAAAAGGTTAGATAAACTCACAGTCACATTATAGAATGGCCCTGGGGAAATCTAGATCAAATAAAAAAACAAATAAAATTCAAAATTCATACTTTCACATTTTATTTCAAAAGTCAAATAACATTGTTTTAAATGTACGGACTGAACAGTTTATGTACCCTGTAATTCCACATAATAAGACATAGCCAACATAATTTAACCTATTCCCTGATGATTACAGCTGAATTTTATCCCGTTTAATTAAGCTATACCTTTTTTTAATGCTATCAAATCATTTTTCTGTTTTTTTTTTATCCATTATTAAGTAAATTAAGTAAATACCACTCCATTTAAATAAAGTATAGAGCTTTCTAATCAAAAGCAATCAGAAAAGCACATATACACATAAAGAAATACTGAACAAGAAGTCCCTTTATAGTTTACATTTTGTAAGATGAAGATCAATCTACTTTACCACCTTGCTTCATGAGGCATCTGTATGAGATTTTAAATAAAATAGCTTAGGAAGTAACAATAATTGCAGTGCATCTATAAAGTCAAACCAATTTTTTTAATAACTCTTTTTAAAAACCCAAGTGTTTCATAGTGTTTCATCGTGTTAAAAGCTCTAACAATGTGGCCCGGGCTTCTTATAGTCTGACCAGTATTTTATCAGATTTTCTGAAGAGCCAAGAATGTATGTAATGATCGTAGAGAATTCACAGCGATCATATTTTGAATTATACGTCTTGAATTGGGAAGGGTTGGGTGGAGGCGTCAGTGAAAGTCCAAGCTTTTTCATGCACATTCCAATATAAGCATCCTCTATATTAAAAGGTTTGATAGATTTTGAGACCTCGACAAATTTAGCAGGAAGATCGTTGGAAAAGACATACCCCATGCCCAGGGTGTATGTGGGATATTTGGGATCAGGGTACATCTCCTCAGGAACGTACCACTTGGAGCTCTTTGATCGGATAACCGGGATGTCCCACATAAGCATTCCCGTTAGATAGTTCAGCTTTGGGATCCCTGGCTTCTGCAGCATGAGCACCAAGTTATCGATGTTTAAGAACATGTCAGAGTCCACCTTCATTGCATAGGCTGCTGTAGGACAGCGTGTGGCCAGCCAGTCCATTATTACCATGGTTTTAATGGTCAGGTTAAGATATGTGTCCATAAAGTTGCTCTGGATCAGGTCATGGTGTTGCTCATTCTCTTGTTTAAGCTTCTCCACATCTGCTCCCTCATGTAGACCCAACATGGAAAGAGTAATTACCACCTCACCCTGAANATGCGGCCTACAAATGTATTTCCTTTTGCCTGGTTTAAAGGATGGGTCAGATGTATCCTATCTATCCTTGGATATCCCATGATTCATTGCAAAACATGCTCCGTGATCAGAGGAAAAAGGTACTTGGTGCCGAACAGTGGTGAATATTGGAAGTTCCGTTTAATATAATATAGTATGTAGTTCCATCTGAAATTAATGAAAATAGTTGTTTTAATAGTGGTTGAGCCAGATATGTGGCTGGTATTGTTTTATTTATATAAAGGTTTTTATCTGTTACTGTGTATATGGGTTTGGCTGTAATTTGAGGACAGATTCTAATATATCTGCAGTGTGGGACTATAAATCTGATAGGATTTTATTTATTCTGATATTTTTTTATCTGATATTATTTTTTAATTGATATTTTAGCAATTACCTTAACTAAGTATTTTTTGTTGATGAATATAAGAGATTTTGCAAATCATTTTTTTATACATACCGGTACATTGTTTAGATTGACTTATATCTTTATATCCCTTTTATAGGATAAAATAGAAAAAAAAATCCCTTTATTGTCCCATAATGGGGAAATTCTGGTGTTTACAGTAGTACAAAAGATCATAGAAAAAAAAGGTCACAAATGTGGATCTTAGAAAAATGTCTAAGAATAACAAAATAGGGAAGAGTTCAAACATAAACAATAATATACTGTACTGTAAATTGTTTTAACAATATAAAAACTGTGCACCTGGGGAATACATAACCAATATACAGCTAAGGATGTTTTTACAGTAATGGATATGTGAAAATAGCAGAAACATCAGAGATGTGCAAAATGACAGCAGTATGTTATTTAACTGACTAAGGTTTATTTCATTACATTTGCTCT